AATTTGTGCTGTATGTGGTGATGATGTGTTGAATGATAGAACGGTCTTCAATGGTTTTCGTTCCGGATATCCTGTTGAATTTGAGGAAGAGCAATTAAATCGACTACTTTACGAAAATACAAGATAATCAGCGAGGGAATTGGTTCAGGAGATGGGATGTAATCACAAAACTGTAGTAAACCACCTGCATTCAATGGGAAAAGTTCAAAGCAAAAAAAGTTCGGCGCTTGAATGAAAACCATAAAAATCAAAGCTCCCCAGTTGCTGTTGGTCTGTTCTTTCGTCATCAATCAACACTTGGTCATAAAGAATGTTTTCTTCATCATATTTCACTAGTGACGTGAACTCGAAATAGTGAAAAGAATGGTTAAGCCCCAAAAAACAAACAACTCCGCGAACAAGACCAGAACTTCATCCTCAAAAGAAAATGTAATGCGTCTGGTGGGATTGGAGAGGGATTATTTGTTACGAACTCTTACCAAACAATCAAACCGTCTATGCAGAACTTCATGTCCAACAACTACGGCGACTCCAAGCGGATATTCAACAAAAAAGATCTGGCTGGTGATACGACGTTCCTTTGCAACATGACAATGCGCGACCTATCGCCAATACGACCAAAACGGCCATTCGAGAGTTGAATTTGGAAGTTCTGCCACACCCGCCTTACTCTTCCAATTTCGCACCTTCAGATTTTCACCTCATCCGCTCTTTGTCAAACTCCTTACGCGGTATTTCTTTTAACAACAACAAGGAGTTAAGAGCGTGGTTGGATGAGTTTTTCGAGTCAAAAACAGAGAATTTCTACAGAACACCGAGAAACTTATTGAACGTTGGGGGGGGACGTCATAAATAATTATGGAGAATATGTCACTGATTAACCTACTGATAATTGTAGAATCAAAAAAATATCTTGAATTTAAATAAAGTCGGACATTATTTATTCCATAAGTAAATAAAAATGTTGGACTTTCCTGATGTGATCTTTAGTGCTTATTTCAATGGCGTAGTTAGTTTTCTTTTTAACCAATCTTTTCGAGGAAAATAAATACTTTTTTCTATGGAGGTGTTACTTAAAAAAATAAACATCAAAACTTTAAATATGTGAAATATGTAATAAAAAGAATGAAGTACAGTCGATTTTAAAAAACAGCGATTTTCACATTTGTTCTAAATAAAATCCAAACCTCTAAGAATTCAACTGTTTTTTCACTGGATGTTCCGTTACTTTGATTAAGCAGTAGTTTCAGAATTTCATTTACTGAAACGACACTAAAATAAAAATATGAATGCAACTGTACGCATTATTCACAATTCTGTTCTAGAAACTACCACTGTAAATACTAAAAATCAACTCCTACATTCATCAACTGTGTACAAGTGTGTCATCAACAATGTACCCACTCCGTATAAAATAAATTCGACGCGGGTAAAATCAAATAGATCACGTTACTGTCAATCTGGCAAATCGCCCTAGGTACTATAATGTCCATTTTGGATCAATACCACATCCATCACGTACTTACGACATGAAAAGGAAAAACGGTGGCTATAATTTCACACTGACAAAATTACTAAGTACTTCATGTTTGGGGTTCATCAATAATAATTTTAATAAAGATCAATTTAATTATTACAATTCAGGCAAAATAAATAGTAAAATCCAGTAAGCAATTTAATAGATTTTTACCTGCTATATTTTTATATGCTACGTTTGTACAAGTATACAGGGTGATTCATTAACAATGTGAAAGTCGAAAGCTGAAGATACTACACGTGAAATAGTGATGATTGGCGCAAACATGCCTTATCCGAAAGTTAATAGTTTTGGAAATACAGGGTGTTGAAAGTTAAATTTTAAATCGTTTCTTTGCGATTATTCTGAATATATGTAGGTTAAAAACTTGAAAATTTATGAAACTATATTTTTTTAGGCGAGAAATAAGATGCGTGTTGTAATTTCAGCATAGCTCATAGAGGGCGCCACTTACGACTAATTTTACCGAAAATTTAGTTAATAACTTTTTACCCTGTATGTCTAACATGAAACTTGATCATTTTTCCATTAATTATGTACTCTTGTTTCATTTCGGTATCTCTATCCGTTTTCGAGAAAAATCGATTTGATGAACACTATGTTTTGATAATATGAGAAATTAAAAGCGAAACAAACCAAGTGTTTCTTCGTGTTATTACAACAATTAACAATAAAACAAATAAAATACGTAATTACGATTTAAAGTAATTGTTCGAAGAATCCACCGTTGACACTGATACACTTTACACGTTTTCTGAGAGATCTTCGAGTTTGAAACAACATATTGGGATTGTGTGTGACTTCGTTGGCAGCGATTTGTATTCTTTGCCACAATTCTTCACACGAGCCAATAGATTCTTTGTAAACTATATATTTCATTCGAGACCAAATAGAAAAATCAAGAGGATTGAAGTCCGGACTTCTGGATGGCCATGCAAAAATGATTACATGACCAATCCAGCGATTTGGAAAAACTGCATCTAAATATGCACGCACTGGCCAAGAAAAATGCGGTGGAGCTCCGTCGTGCATGAACCACATGTCTCTTCTTAAACAAAGTGGAACTTCTTCAAGCCGTGGAAGCATTTTTACTTGGCCTCCCAGAAGTCCGGACTTAAATCCTCTTCATTTTTCTGTTTGAAACGCAATCCCAATATGTTGTTTCAAACTCGAAGATCTATCAGAAAACGTTGTGTAAAGTGTGTAAATGTCAACGGTGGATTCTTCGAACACTGACTTTAAATCATGATTACGAATTTCTTTTGTTTTATTGTTAATTGTTGTAATGACACGAAGAAACACTTGGTTTCTTTCGCTTTTAATTTCTCGTATTATCAGAACATATTGTTCGTTAAATCGATTTTTATCGAAAACGGATCGAGATATCGAAATGAAACAAGAATACACAATTAATGGAAAAATGATTGCTCTTTCAGGTTTTGAATCAAATTTCATGTTAGACATACAGGGTAAAAAGTTATTAACTAAATCGGTAAAATTGGTCGTAAGTGTCGCCCTCTACGAGCAATCCTGAACTTAGAACACGCATCTTATTCGTCGCCTAAAAAAATATAGTTTCACAAATTTTCAAGTTCCTAACCTACATATTTTCAGAATAATCGCAAAAAAACGATTTAAAATTTTAACTTTCAACACCCTGTATTTCCGAAACTATCAACTTTCGGATAAGGCATGTTTGCGCCAATGGTCACCATTTCACGTGTAGTATCTTCAGCTTTCGATTTTCCCATTGTTAATGAATCACCCTGTATTTGAGTTGTGTATAAGAAAACAAATTAAACTCAATACTTTCAGAAAAATAAATCAGTTCCTTGCATTTTTAAATTTTCTGTACTTATATCTACCTATCCTCTCTCTGTTTATTACAATTTTAATTTTATTTAGCTACAAATCGGTTTTTAAACCTTTAAAATACACTGTTATAAAGGGTATCCCAATATTTTGTATACATGGAACTATTGCTTTTATAAGCAACGATATAATTGAACTACCACAGGTACTTGGAGATTTTTATAGCTAATTATTTCTATCCTAAGTTACTTCGTTTAACCGCTAGAGGGCGAGAGGGCGTCAAGTTAGGCACCTTTTAGTTTAAATTGTATAGAATTAAGTTTAGTCTTATTTTGACTCGCAAAATTTTTTAGTAGATCCATGTTCACGGAACACCCTGTATATATATATATATATATTTCCGGTTGGAACTGAAAACAATATTACACAACAAAGGTATGGGAAGTTACACGTTTTATGATATAAAGATAAAAAATTGAGTGGGTCGCTCATTTTATATGAGAAACAGTATGTAACTTTTTTTATTGTCAGCTACGTCTATTAATAGATTTATTTATTTAAAATGAAGGCGAAATAATTGCAAACAGTTGTACTCGCGTAGTCTGCGCTCAAGGCCGTGACATGACATCAGTTGCACAAATTAACCGGTCATTTTCTAATGAAATATATGCGAACTTCCTATCTGAATATTTGGTACCTACCTTCTCCCAAATGTTTATGAGTATTCCGAAAATATTAGGTGACAGAACTGTATTTTGAATATTTGCTTTTAAGTATTAAATACAAATATATCAACGAAAACACTTTCTTTATACTATATCTGAAAATTTATATAATAAGTTTAAAACAAATAGATGCAGCAGATGATTATACAAAAACTGTCATTCATTGACAATATCTTTTTAAATTGATATCATATCAAACTAATTTAAATATCGTTCTATAGATAGGTATGCGGCATGAAAACGATAATTTCGATGAAATTATAATTTTTCTAAATTTTTATTAATAATATCTAAAATACAATGTGGCTCATTAAGAACCTATACACTTCATTTTCTTGTCAACGTTTTTTTAGTAATTTTCATACCTCGCTGCTGGACACGCTATTGTGATTTCAAATAGTTAGTCTCTGCACGTGCACAATTGGGAACTGGGCTATGCATTGTTGTCAAATCTCATAATTTACAGGAAAAATTGTTAAACGATTTTAAGAAAATATTTCATATCGATAAGATTAGTATTTTTACTATGTTTGTACAATTAGTGGTGTATCTACATACCAATATTGGTTAATTGTTAATTATGTGAAAATTTTTAAATTCTTAAAAACGATATTTTAAAAGGTGACTTTAAAATAAACACGTCGTTGTTATATTACAGCAATCTGTTTTCACTAAATTACTTTTCATTAGTTTCGTTGTCTAACAGTTAATTAAAAATATATTATTAGAATTAGTAACACATCTATACGTACCAATATTAGTTAATATTTAATAAATGATGCGAACATTTTTATTTTCTTTAGATTTTTTTATGTTCGTCGCTTCGACCACAGTGATATAAAAAAAGGTGACTTTAAAATAACACGTCGCTATGTTGTACAAAAGCAATCCGTTTTGTTAAATTACAGTGTTACCAAAAGACTCACCCCAACTTGCTGGTGTCGCCGGCGGCATGGCAGCTGATAAGGTCCGCAGGGGCCAGACCCCTAGACTTCCAATTCTGGTAGATGGCCTCCGCCTGGTCCGAGATCTGCTTGGCGATGGCCGCAATGTCGTCGTCGGGGTCCCGCCTGCGGGCCGTCGCCGCCATATTTCTCTCGATGGTTATTGTTTTGTCTTGTTTTCGTTCAACTTAAAGCGAGGGTCCAGCGATATCCCGACGAAGAGCCTCGCCAGGGCTTTTCCATGACTGGCAACCCTTGTTCGCCTAGACAGAAGGCAGATATATCTGAAACAAAAAGTAAACAGTTTTAATAAACAGAATATTTGGACCAATAAAAAAATACATAAACTAATATGAAAGTAGTTTTTTTGCTTTGTTTAAAATTATCTTCCAACGCACTCAGTTTTTCTATTTCACGCCTGAAGAAATTCTATCGTTTGGAAGTAAAATGGAATTCACTCAACCAACGAAGAAGGTAAGCAAGATCAGGAGAATAGGATAAATGTGGAATAACCTACCAACCAAGCTGGATATTCATACAGCTTTTGTGATATTAGCAATATAAGGGCATGCGTTATCAAGCGGCAAAATCAGTCGATGTTTTCCAGGTTTTTTTCTTAAATTACGACCTCAAGAAGATGGAGTTGTTGGCAATAAACCTCAACAGTGATAGTTACATTCCTGGGAAACAATTCATAGTAGTCGCATTTTTTGACCCACCAGGTAAGCGACATCAACTTACGCCGATGGATACCAATTATTCTTTAGAGGCCTCTCTGTTAGGCCTAAGCCATTATTTTTTATTCTTGGCGTTGACATAATAGCGTTGACATAATTTTTTGGCACTTATGTCCAAAGTACATAAGGTCGAAATTCGATCTAGTAAAAATATTGAGAATTTTTTCATGACAATATGCTCTATGGGGTTGCCTATCATTTGGCATCATTACTAAAAAGGTGTATTTACCATGAAATTATTAAGATGTTCCATGGCAAATAGGCAACCAGCAATACGTTTTTATAGATTTTACTACACGCAGATTTTCTTTAAAATGGAGTTAGTTTGAAACTCAAATTACTTTTTTTTGTAGAGAAATTTCTTGACACCAAAAAATAATTTGAGTTTCAAACTAGGTCAATTTTATAGAAAATCTGCAATAAAATGGGGGAAAGTCTGTTATTTGTGCATTATTTGATATTTGGACAAACTGTGTCATAAAATCTATAAAAACGTATTGCTGGTTGCCTATTTGCTACAAAACTCTCTTAAGAATTCTTAATTATGCTTATGGTGTTATGAACGAAATGAAATCGTGATACGATGTGAAAACTGCTTCAGTATGATTGCGCGACCAATAGTTTTGTATCAGCATGTGCTTGATCATTGTTTATATGACTGAAATATGCATATTGACTTTACACTGTACATATGACAAGGGGTGACAGTTCTGAAATGTGTATACGCAGTGTCTAATGCCCGCTTTATTTGAGACCACACTTGTCCAGCGGCGGGGTATGAAAATTAGGAAAAAATGGTTAAAAAGACGAAAAAACTTATGTTTTTGAAGGTCAAAGTTACATCCTATATACTAAACAATATTCCTTAAAGATAGAGTCGTATGAATTGAAACCATGGTACGTAATAATTAATTATGAAATTCACATGAAATATAAAAGAATTATTACTATTATTAAGTACTTTAACTTTTCACGGTCCCTAAGCACATAAATCTGAAATACATTGAAAGTGAGAATAACTGTCAGGATATATCTACTAAAAATACCCAAAATAAGATCATTAGCAATTCAAATGATGCTCATATATATTCGCAATATTTTCAGAGTCGGTTTCAAATAACCATAGATTAAAGAGAATCGACCCCAATATGTGAAATTATTACCTTTATGTGATACGTCTGCACGCTATCCTCAAACTTCTAGCACGTTTATTTTCAAAAATTGCGAATAATGTATGGAAATGAGGACACTTTTATACTACTGAATTTATGGACATTTCATTTTGACATTTTCATACTTAAAAATAGTCTCCGGAAATATTTTTTTACCAGGATGTGATTGGCTCCACATTTTCCAAACGAGGAACCAGAAAAAACGTGAATAGCAATGGTGCCATAAATAGAATTCCTTACAGAGATATCTACACTGAAAGAAATGGGCTTATTAAACTGTTTATCTAGAATAATGTGTATAGCGCATATTAAAACTTTTATAACCAATATACAACTTTTATTAAAAAAGAGCAATCATCTTCATACTCATTATTCAATCAGTTTAACTGGAAGGTGCTTAATACACCTTATGCATCTATGAAATAAAGGTTATAATGAATTACTTATACATTATTAGGTGTTATAGACTTTATATTCCAGTTGTATAGTAGGGAAGATTTGTTGTATAAAGACCAGTATCCGAATTTGTATATAACAATTGTATTAACAGAATTATTCGTTCTTATACTGAATATGTTTCCGTTTTTAACGTGTAAAACGCATCTTATAATGGTTAAGTGATCGTCACCTCTCGGTGCATAATCGGTTATGATCGTTGTTAAGTTATATTCATAGTCTTGTAATAATAATCATATGTCAGACCCGAGAGCGAAGTGCGCCGACTCAATAAGAAACCTGGCTATTCCAGCCGCTGATTTAGGGTTCGCCGCACGAGCTCATCCCTTCTAAGATTTCAGTAGCATGCTATGCATGAAGCAGAACGGTACTCAACTATCTTATACAGTCCACTTTTATTGTCCATACATGTTCAATCATTGTCAAAATAAACACACAAAACCACAACGTCTTTATTATCTTTACTCAAGAAGAGAAAATACAACAATCGTAAAATTTCCGACAGTCCGCTGTGCATCGACTTACACACGTCTAGTTTGATGAAAATGGACAGTATATGCACATGTTTTGTGGGATACATGATCATATCGCGTTGTGTGAAATGGAAAATTATTATGTAAGTATCTAACTGTTTTATGGCTTGTAATTGTTTTGTTTTTTCAAATGTAAATCTTGTCTAAATCTTAAAAATTATTATTTTGTAGGTCCTATTAGAAATCGCTGATGTTAAGTTTTACATAAGATGGAGGAACAGAAGGTTAACGGTGACAAAGAAGAGCATGGGTATAAAGTCAATCAACCAGAGGAAATAAAATTATATGGAAAGAAGCTCAACCTTTCTGGGGATGCTTCATTCTTAAGGTGGAAGAGTTATAGTGCAAATTCTCATGTAATACAAGAAAATACGGGTGCATCGTTGCTAAGAAAATAAACTGGACAGTTTTGGGAGCGATTTGTCATCATTTTTAATGCTTAAAAGTATGTTTTATGTATGTTTACATTAGAACCTTAGCTTGTAATTACAGTTATCCAATAAAATTTCTGAAAACTTAATGACATATGTTTTTAACTCATACAGAGTATACAACAGTTTAATACATTTATTATTATAAAACTTATAACCAGTACTAGATGTTCTAATAACGATATGGAACACTTTAATAACAGTTATTGCTATTATTTCGTAAAGGGTATAAAAAACGTTGTATACTAGTTATACAATAATTTAATAAAGAATAAGGTTTATAGTCACTATACAACTGTGCTAGCAATACGCGTTTTATATCCAATATTCACCTGTTTAACTGTCACATATAGTATACAATGGTCTTATAATGGTATATAGAATTCTAATAAAGAATAAAACGCATTTCTTTCAGTGTAGACCCACATAAAATATACCTTGACATTGATGTAGGCCTTATCTAGGAATAATAAATTCGTATCGCCTTAGTTGCATTTCGATAAGAACTGATCATCATTATCAAGGATAATGATAACGTCTGCTCTATAAAATTTCCTCAAGCAATACACGGTGTTCAATGTTCAAATTTGATAAGTGAAAGAAATTAAACATATTTTTATCCAAACTACTTTCTTAAATTTTATTTGTTGACAAATGTGGTTAATTTAAACGAGAATCGAGGATCGCAGAAAATGTAGTCAACTAAAAAGTTACTTTGTTAAAAAAAATTGCTTATAGATTTTTTAATGAGGTTGGATGCATGTTTTACGTGCAATGCGGCTCGAATAATGCATGTCAAGTGCAGATGCCGACACATACTCTACGTATGCATGTATTGTTAAGGTAATAACACTTCGATGAAACGAATATTTCTCAGAACGGTGCACCATCTCAAGGTACGATTTTTCTCAGAATTATTGTAGTTGGCAATTCTTAACACGCACATATCTTTAAGATAAAATCCATTTAATGGAAATAGTTGTTTTAATTAAATTAAAATTAGCTTGGGTTTATTTCCCAATCTTAAAAATAACCAAAAAATTTCTTTGGAAAAAGGTTTATGCCTTTGATTCACTAGGGTGGTTAAGATATTTTGCTAGCAGTTCATCATCACGCAATTGCTATTCCTAATTCAACAATACATTTGTGTTTAATACATTCTCAAAAAATTCACTCAAATTTCACTCAATCCTACTCAATAATGTATCAATTTCCGTCCACACCCAATTGAGAGTTGACTTTTTCTCTAATATGATTTAAATTTAACTATTATTGGGAAATTTTTTACTCAGACTTGCTGTATATTCTCAGTATAAAGAACAGAGGTCAGAGTTTGCAAGAGACAATTTGTAGGAAGCCCAGAGAACTTCTGGGAGAATATTATATTTTCGGACAAAAAAGTTTTCAGTTTTGCTCCGATGCTTCTCTCCGTGTCTACCCACCAGAGATTATGAGGTATTCGGAGCCTTATGTGAAACCCACACAGCGCAGCGATAGATTCTCCATTAACGTTTGGGCTTGGATAAGCTGCCAAAGTCCTGTTGTTTGTTGTGACCATGCTGTATCCTCAGAATTTCACTTTCATGCAGGATAATTATGCAATTCACACCTCAAGAGTTGCGTCAGAATGGTTCATTGATAACAACATCGAAGTTTTACCTTAGCCGTCAAAGTCCTGGGGATATGTGGTGAAAAATATTTACGACAGAAACTTCCGTCCAGTTAACGTCGAAGAACTTTGCGAGGCAATTAAAAACGCATGGGATCACTGAGGAGGATTATAACAAGAACATTAATTTTATCAATGCCATCTAGATTGCAATGTTATAGACAAAAATGGTGCTTGGACAAAATACTAACTTTACGAATCGCATTTTTTTGACGACGAAAAGTGTTTCATTTTTAGATCTCGTTGACGGCGAATGAATGGCCGTTAGAATGTATAACATATTTCA